AACCTGGCCATCAGGTCTCTCCTTTCTGCCCCCTCTCTGTATCAAAACTGACTGAAGGAGCTTGTGATTGGCTCAGCGGGTACAGGCAATTGCTGTCAAAGCTGATGACCTGAGTTCAAGTCCTGGGATCCACAAGGTGAAAAGTCCTGTGACTTCTACACACACTCCACTCCCCAGCGCCCCACCCCATAAATAAAGTACTCCTCCTCCTCCAACATGATTGTACAGCTTCTGCCTTTTTATTTCTCTGACTTTGTATGCTGTCACTTAAGTCATTCTCCCTGCTCAGTGCCTTCCTGTTTTCTGCATCTTTACTCTTGTAAATTCACTCCCAGTGCTTTAGAGCTCAAGCAATCTCCTTTGAGTGTAGGCAGAACTCTGCCCTCTAGTGGCTTCCAGGTATCTTTCAGGACATTAATAGAGTGGTCTTCTATGTTTTTTTTCTGGTACTTCTGCCTTGCAGTGATGCTGTACTGTTCCAGAAGAGACACCTATTCCCTCTGGCCTCTGAGCCTACTCTATTAAGAATGCCCTTCTAGCTGGGCGATGGTGGCTCACGTCTTTAATCCCAGCAATCCGGAGACAGAGGCAGGCAGATCTCTGTGAGTTCGAGGCCAGCCTGGTCTACAGAGTGAGTTCTAAGACAGGCTCTAAAGCTACACAGAGAAATCTTGTCTCAAAAAACCAAAAAAAGGAAAAAAAGAAGAACAAATGCCTTTCATTGGCCACTGTTATTTGAATCCACCAGGCATCAGCTTAGCCCTCTTCCTGCTTCCAAAGACCATCCATGCCTGGATGTGATGTCCCTCCTCTGGGGGCCCTGGGGGCCAATGCATACCCCACCACAGCTCTACTGTTTAGTGCTGCATTTTCCCCACTAGATTGCAAGCTCTCTGAAGGCCAGCACTACAACTGTGTCTCCTGGAGTTGTTGGCGTGTGGCATATAGTATTGACTGATAGCCCTGTGCAACACTGAGAGCTGACACAAGTAGATAACTAAATATACTGTTATACATATCTGACTATGCCATTCATTCATTCATTCATGGTTTGGAAACAAGGTTTCATTATATAGACAGGTTGTCCTGAAGCTTGCAATCCTCTGGGCTCAGCCTCCTGGGTCCTAGATGTATGGGAGTGTATCCCTGAATGCGGCCAACATGTTATTTGAAGTGGTGAAACCCCCTCAACACTTGCCTCTTTGCACACCGGAGCTGTGTGACCACTTCCACAAAGGGGAAGGAGACACTTCTGTGTTCTCTCAGTGATAGGGAACAGAGTGGGAACCCTGAGTGTCATTGGGGAGGTGACTCTGGAATAGCCTGGCAGTGTGGCAGTCCTCAGACTAAGGGCAGCACTGTTTGTTGTCCAGGGAAAGGGAACTAAAGAATAATATTGTTCCATACCAGACAGGGGTTCAGGAGCCAAACCTTTGTCTGTCTGCCTGTCTTTCTCTAGTGCCTGTCTCTTGGGACGGTAAACTCTATGAAGTGATTTGTCTGTGTGTTAATGACCCTGAAGTTGGTCCTGGGTTTCCCGACCCTGTCTGACCCTCTGCCCACAGTGTAAGCAGGCTTCACAGAGTTCTCGCTCCCTGAGCTTTACAGAGGAGTCTCTACGTCCCTGAGCCCCACCGTTGTTTCTTGGAATGAGCTCCTCTTCTAATTTCTTGGGAAAGTACTTGATCTTTCCATACTGTCTTGTTCCTTTTCTCTCACTGTAATTCACGTGACTCGGTAATTCACAAGGAAAACAGATTTATTCTCTGCCTGAAAGCAAGAGGGGGCAGAGAGAGGACAGAGGGGATGATCTGTTTTACCCATTTGTTTCCCAAGAACTCATCCATCCCTGAGAAAATTGATCCAGTCTTACAAAGGGGACACCAGTCTCTCGTTAAGGCCCCACATCTCAACTTGAGTTTTGCTGGGAACAGACCACCTCCTCTACAACACAGTCCCAGGCTGATTCTCTTTTGACAGCCCGGATCCCTGTACATTATGAATACTGTGGACCCTGAACGCTCACAGTAATTTATTTTTCCTCCTCCTCCTTCTTCCTCTTACTCCTCCTCCTCTTCTTCCAAGGACACTCTTGACATTTTTCATTAATGTTGGTGATATTTACCTGTCCTTTCTCCATCTTCTATGTCTTCTCTCTATCCAGCCCAGAGTCAAATGCAGCCAAATCATTAAATGCTTTTTTAAATCATTAAAGTTTTTGTATGTGTATATGTGAACATACATACATGATGGTGTGTGTGTGTGCGCGCACGCGTGCGCACGCGTGCACTCATGAGAGAAGTTGACTTTGAATGTCTTCCTCTATTATTTTTCACTTTTCTTTTTAAAACAGGGCCTCTCCTTAAACCTGGAGCTCACAGATAGTCTGGCTGACCATCGAGCTTCAGGATCCTTCTGTCTCTGCATCCCCAGAGCTGGGTTTCTGGCATATGCTACCATATCATACCAACTTTTTATAGGGTGCTGAGGATGGAATTCACATCTTCATGCTTGTATGGCAAGTGCATTACCCATGTGCCATCTTCCCAGCATACTGGAATCCCTTATCATCTAGAACGATATCTTGTCTGCCAACCTTGTTCTAGACATAGGAGTTCAGCAACGAGCAGGCCAAAGAACCTGCCCTGTGGAGCTCAAAATGCAGGAGATCTTCTGTGCATGGCATCACTCTGCAAATACCTCTGTAGGCATAGACTCCATGCTGGGATCTGAAAGATGCCATGCTCTTCAAAAAGGCTCCTGATCACCTGTGAAGGCAAAACACTCTTTGAGGACTAGAACAACTGACCTGTGTTATCCAAATACTGGCAAAGTGCAGTTTCTAGAAAGCTGTAGGTGTCAGAAAAGCATGTTGAATCGATGGAGTAAGATTTTCCTACTTGGAGAGGGAAGTGGTCTGCCAGGGCCATTGCAATCACTAATATTTTACAATTTGGAGTTTAGGGCCAGCTTCCAGAGCCCTCTGTTGAAAACTCTTGGGTTTTAGAGGCAGGTAGAGGTCTGGCGAGAAGCAGTCAGATTCTAGGATGACCAGTTCTGGCAGAAGCCCTTGACTCCAGTAGACTGTATTTGCTCTTCATTTTCTTTTCTTTTTTAATGTGGGTACAGTAATCTTTATTGATGATATTCAAGAGAGTAGGGCTCCTAAGCCTCTCCTGTTATTCTGGGGGTCTGGGATGGAAACTGTGAGGGAGATTTTCAGTGTTAGGGGCTGAGTTGGAACAGGGACTGTTCAGCAGCCGAGGGCCTCTTTCTTGCTCTTGTGTACTTGCTGGGCTGGGTGGTCCAGGGTTTGGTACTCCTTGGAGGCCATGGAGGCCATGAAGTCCATCACTCTGCTGCTGTAGCTGTATTCATTTCCACACCAGGAAATGAGCTTTACATGTTGTCATTGAGAGCAATGCTAGCCCCAGCATCAAAGGTGGGAGAGTGGCCTTCACTGTTGAAGTTGCAGAGACAACCTGGTCCTCAGATTAGCCCAGGATGCCCTTTAGTGAGCCCTCAGTTGCCTGCTTTGCTACCTTCTTGATGTCATCATACTTGGCAGCTTTCTCTAGGAGGCATGTCAGATCCAAAACTTACATATTGTGTATAGGAACATGGAAGGCCATTCCAGTGAGCTTCCCATTCAGCTCTAGGATGATCTTGCCACAGCCTTGGCAGCACTAATGGATGTAGGAATGGTGTTCTGGGCAGGCCCATGGCCATCACACCATAGATTCCCAGAAGGGCCATCCACAGTCTTCTGGGAGGCAGTGATGGCATGGACTGTGGTCATGAGTTTCTCCACAATGACGAAGTTGTCATGGATGATCTTGGTCAGGGGGCCTAAGCAGTTGGTGGTATAGGAGACATTGCTGATAATCTTGAGTAAACTGTCATACTTCTCATGGTTCACACCTATCACAAACATAGGGGTATCAGCAGAAGGGGCAGAGATGATGACTCTTTTGGTTCCATCCTTCAAGTGGGCCCTAGCCTTCTCCATGGTGGTGAAGACACTAATACACACCATAACATACTCAGCACCAGCATCATGACATTTGATGTTGGTGGGATCTCCCTCTTGGTAGAAGGTGATGGCCTTCCCACTGATGACAAGCTTCCTGTTCTCAGCCTTGGCTGTGCTGTTGAACTTGTCATGGGTAGAGTCATACTGGAACATGCAGACCATGTAGTTGAGGTCAATGAAGGTGTCATTGATGGCAACAATGTTCACTTTGCCAGATGTGAAGGCAGCCCTGGTAATCATGAGCCCAATATAGTCAAATCTGTTCACTCTGATCTTCACCATCCTGTCTCAGGAACAAGGCTGGCACTGCACGAGAAAATGCAGCTGTCTCTGGAACAGAGAGGAGCAGAGAGCCAGTCTTTATTTTCTTAACCCCCAAACTTATGAGTTTTAGGAGCTCTGCAAACCCACCCACACATAAACATATACAGAGACACACACACACATGGATATGCACATACACACAAATATACACATAAATAAACAGATACACATACATGCACAGACAAATACACAGAGACATGCTCATACACATACACAGATAAACACACACTCATGGACATGCACATTCACACACATAAAAAGATACACAGAAACAAAGTCAGACACACACACACACACACACACACACACACACACACACACACGCACAGTGATTTTCTCAAGGCTACTTGCTGTGTCAGAGCCCCATTGAGGGACATGGAAAGCAGAAAGGTGGAGAGAGGATAGTGTTTTTAGCCCATGGAATGTCAATTGTGAAAAGATTCCTATAAACCTACCATCTTGGGGCTGGGCATGCCTTGTGATTTCTAGATGAGCCAAGCCTCCTGTAGTCTCTGGTGTTCTGGGTAGTCAGCTCCCAAGAAATGATGGAATTCCAAGTAAGTTGTGTACAGTGCTGTCTCTGTTTTCCCAGTATTCAGCTTGAGCTGTCGGTCAAGGCCAGCCATACTGTTCCTTTTTTCAGTGCGCAGAATCAAGGCAGCTGATGAAGAGAGGAGCCGTCGTGCCCAGCGAGCCCGGGATGAGTACCGGCGCCACTCACTCCGTGCTATCCAGAAGGGCACTGTTGCTGGCCTAAGCACCATGTTCCAAGAACTTGGCCAGAACCATGAGCAGGAGGCAAGGCTCCATCAACTTCCGTGCACGAGCCCACCATCATCCCTCACAGGACCTGACAGGTGTGTTAGGATGGGCTGTGGACACAGGAGACAAGCTCCATGGGTTCTCCCCAGGCTCTGTCTCTTACTTGTTGGTCATTTGCCCTCCTTGGGCATTAGCATTCCAATTTATGTAATAGGCAGAACACAGAAATAGGGCTCTGGACCTTTCTAACAACTTTGGAGTTCTGGGGGTTAGTTAACCTTTCAGAGGTTAAAGATTTTTGTGATCTTTGACATCATCCTCTCCTCAAAATCTGCATATGCAAATGTTTCCATAGTTTTAGACTCCTTGGCCTTGGCCAAAACTTTGCAATGAAAGCAATCATCAACCAGGTCCTGTGTATATAAACTCGTGAAAATTAATTTTATATTAGGCAACCATGATCTGCAAAGATATTCTCCCAAGTAGGGTCTTTGTTCAAGGGCTGTGTGCTTTGGAAATTCACTGGCCCTGCACAGGGCTGCTACCAATGTTTGTATCTTCACATCCTTTAGCCTGACCCATGATGTTGCCAATCTTGTTTTGTGTAAGGAAATATGTCTTGGAGTAAGTTGAAATACTCACATATGTCTATGGGCTAGACTAAACATTTCATATATGTTGAAGGGCCACAGTATTTCCTTCTCTTCTCTTGTCCAGTCACTCTTTCACTGTGCGATCCATGTTCTCTTTATCCATCTCTAGGAACTCCCTAAGCTAGGGAAAAGTTGTGACACATCCTTTTTCTCATTTTGTCAATTATTATTATTTTTTTTATTTTTGGAGGTAGAATTTTCTTGCATGCAGAAATGCTTGATTTTTTTAAATGCTTGATTTTTTTTTTTTTTTCAAGACAGGGTTTCTCTGCTCACAGAGATCCGCCTGCCTCTGCCTCCCGAGTGCTGGGATTAAAGGCGTGCGGACCACTGCCCGGCTTTAAATGCTTGATTTTTATAAGATAAATTTCTTATGTGTTTTCTGAATCTGGAAGTATAGTCAGAAGTGTCTCCCCCCTTCTATGCTTTTAAAACTTTATTTATTTATTCACTTATTTAGTGTGTGTACATGTACACATACACATACTAGACCATGCATATGGAGGTCAGAGAACAACCTGTGAGAGTCAGTTCTCTGCATGTGGGTCCCTGGGTTCAAACTCACATGGTCTGACTTGGCAGCAAGTGCCTTTACTTGCTGAGCCATCTCTTTCCATTCACCTTCCTCCCTTTTTCCTCCCTGTCCGTTTCTTTCTTCTCTTCCTCCTCTCTGATTTATTCCACCCCACTTACTCTCTTTCTTCCCAGCAGGTCCTGGGAGCGTCCTCTGCGTCCACTCTCCAGAGAAGTCATCGTGCGCTGGTTCAAGGAGGAACAGCTGCCTCGCCGAGCTGGCTTCGAGAGGAACACCAAGTCCATTGCTCCCTGGTTCCACGGTAGTACACTTTCCTGGCCCCATGGCAGATGATGTTGACATGTCCAACTCTTTCTCAAATGGAAGAAGTCTTGGAGGTCTTGGAGGATAACTGTAATAGGAATGTGGAGGACTTTGGGGTCCATGCTGCCTCAATTCTGCCCTCAATACTTTTGACAAGAGTCCTAGAGTCCAGAGTCACTGAAATACTAGACATGCATCCCCTCTGTCTTCTGGACAGTTGTGAACTTGAGTCCCACCCACTGCTGTCACCACTTAGCCTCTTTGGTTGTCAAGTCACTGACAAGGTTCTGTCCTTGTACTCAAGACAGTGAGACTCAGGCTACTGGTACCAGGTTACTGGTGATCAGGTCCAACATCTTGTGTGCTTGATTCTGCATCTCTGTTCTTAGCCATAGCCACATCACTGCAGGCTGTTGGCTCTGAAAAAAAATCCTTTTTGGTTAGATGACAGATGGATGAATGAAGAGTTCAGAGTCACTCAAATGTATCAGACTAGGAGGCTGTTTAGAAATCTTTCAATTCCTTCGTTACAGATAAGGAACCAAGGCTCAAAGACAGGAGGGAGTTTTCAAAGGATACTAGATAATGTGTAAAGTTAACTCCAAGAATGAATCACAAGGGCCATAGCCTCAGTCTAGTGATATGAATATGCAATGGCTTCAAGTAGGGAAACAAATAGGGCCGTGGTTTCACCAGAGACTTGTTGAAGACTTGCTCTTGGTTTTGAGTTCCTTCAGTATCGGTTAGCTATCACTGCATAACAAACACTTCAAGGCACTGTACCTTAAAGCAAGTAGACCTTTATTATTTCTTCACGTGTGTCTGAATTGGCTGGGCAGTTCTAGCTTAGGTTACATGATGCTGACTGAACTCACAGATGGTCCTCTGGCCAGTTAGCAGGTTAACTGAGGCCTGGATAGTCTAGCAGGGTCTCCTCTCTGCTTATGTGAACTCTTATAATCCAGCAGTCTGGCCCAGACCATCAAGTCTCTGCAACTTGGTCTTGCTCCCTGAGCCTTCCTTCTCTAAGCAGCACTTAGCTCAAGTGAGGAGAGCTTGGGGTTTCTCTGGTCAGAACCAACTTCCTCTGCCACAGTTATTATCTTTGCCTGTGCCTTCTCCCCTGTTGTCAAATCTCCTGGTGGATGGAAGAGCCTTTGTCTTGGCCTGTATTTCCTGTGTTTGTCTTGGTGATAAACTGCCCATCTATTCCAGACCAGCTTCTATGTACTCTCAATTCTATCTGCTTGGAGGGACGAGCCTGTGTCATGCGAGTGTAGAATCTAGTGCCTTGACGGATTCACTGCTGGCAGAAGAAGGCCCTCATGGGCATGTACTGGCCATGGCTCCAGCTCTGGGGAGGCACCAGAAATGCTTAGCAGGAAAACGTGCTAATTGAGAAAAGCTATCTACACCTTTACTTTAGCCTGCTGGAGCCCAAAGAGCACGTGATGCAGTACTGAATCTCTCTGAAGGTCACACAGGTGATGGCGTTCCAGTCCAGGCCTCGGGAGTGTCCTCACTGCTCTGTCGTCTTTGTGGCTCATCCTTCACAAAGCATTTTGGAACTCTCTAGTCAGATCCCATCATTTCTCTGCTGTGTTATCCCCTACTTCCCTTTATATACTCCAAAAACCAAAAACTGAAACCAAAAAACCAAACCAAAACAAAAGCCCCTCTAAACCCTGTTCTGAACCACGAGGCTCAGGTGACAGGTAGTTCCCCACACCAACCTTAAGTCAACCCTCTGTGCCCACCTTGCCCAGAGCTCTGCCTTTTCTTCTGTTCCTAAGTGAGCCACCCTCCTCTCCAGCTCAGGCCCTCGTCCGTGCGATTATGCTGCCTGCCTTTGCTGTCTCTCTCCAGCTCCTTGCTCGACAGATACAGTCTTACTTTTCATCTCCAATATCTGCTCCTCTGAGAGGCCTTTCCTGGATTTTTTTTCCAAAGCCTATTTTATTCAAGCTCTGTCAATTTGTCTTGTGTCATTCTTAAATAGCTCCCTTATATCATTAGTATTTTTCTTAATGTTCATTGTCTGTCTCCTATATGAATATAAGTTTGGAAAGCTAATGGCCTGGCCTATTTTCCCCAGTGCCTGCCCTGGTAGGCATCTGTGGAGAAATGGTCAAAGGTGGGCACAATCTGTCAGAGTTAGGATGGGATCCCAGGCTTTCCAGTCCTAAATAATATCTCTTGATCCTCAGCACTGGGCCCTGGTAGCTGTATGATTCTCCCTCACTACAGTACCTAGTAATAATCTGACAACCCAGAGCAGCACAAGAGATGGATGCCTTGTTTTCTAATTGGTGATATGTTCAACAGGGGCAGGATCCATGTCTTGGGCACCTGTGTGTTCACATGTCACCTCTGCCTTCCAACTGCCCAGAGGTCAGGTGCTGAAACACAGCCAAGAAAAGTTTGCCCTCTTCCACTGCCACCACTCTTGTTGACTTCTAGAAGACCACTATGACATCCACACTGTGTTCATCACAATATGTATGTAGGCTTTGTTGCATTTCAGAACACAGGCACCCAAAACTCAGTGGCTACTACCAACTAAGGGTTATTTTATACTTCTGTCTTATGCTTGTTGGGAGTTAATTATAGACATCTAGGCATCAGATTGAAGTTTTGTTTCTATTGGTTACTGGCTTCATAAAATCTGATGGTTTCATGGCAGAGGGAAAGGAAAGAATTAGTGGGTCATACAGTAGTTCCAAAGTTTCTGAATGGAACAGACACTTGCTGTGGTTGGGCATAGGTGTCATTGGCCAGAGGCAGCCTGGTGTCTGGTGTATGTGGTGTGGTTGAGAGTTTCGAATAATAAATAGGCTCTTATAGCTACTTGCCACTTTTGGGAATCTTCTTTCTCTTAGGCCTCCACATATTCAGCAGAAGCATGGAGTGGCTTTTCATAGCCCAGAGAAAGCACAGTCAACACTCATGGGTGGCCTGGCCATGTGTCCCTGTAGCTGGTCCCAGAGACTCAGTGCCTTCTCTCATATTGTATGGTCTGAAGACCTTGGTGGATCTCCTGATTTGGGCCACCACCTTTCCCCCTCATATGTACATTATTACCATCATGGAAGTAGCTTATGGTATCTCAGGTAGGTGCAAAGTACAGCTTAAATGTCCCATGAAGCAGGGGTTTGGTGGCTCTGCTGGTTTCTCAAATGTGATTTTGGTAGCCAGTGGAGAAGGTAAGTTGAAGTGATCAAATTTATCATTTTTTTGGGGGGAAGGTCTTACAGTATTTCAATTTTTATTTTTGTGTACAAAGACCTGCTTGATCTCTTTCATTAGGTAAACTGTAGTGCAAATTCTAATTGTTCTTGACAATAAAAACCCAGAGTCAGAAATAGGGGTAAATGCTGAAAGATCAGAGAAGTAAAGGAGTCAGCCACTGGAGAGACTTTTTACTTATACTGAAGATCGAAAATGGCTGAGCTCCTCTTTCCTCCTGACTTACATTACTATCTCTACCTCCCTAGTGCTGGGATTAAAGGCGTGTGCCACTGCCTGACTTCTATGGTTAGCACTGTACTCTGATCTCTAGGCAAACTTTGTTTGTTTAAGCCCAAATAAAATATCACTACATCTCCCCCTTTTTGTCTAAAATAAAAAGAAGGTTATAACTAATAAGAAAAACTGTATACAATAAGTACAATAAGTACTATATGCAATATATAAAGGCCATAAATACATTAACAATTTCTAGTCTATAAACATTTGACAAGTTCAGAGAAAATACTCCATTATCTATCCCATTTTGGTGAGTCTAAAAGGTTGTACCTAATTCACTTTTTATTCTAGTTTGTACTACCAAAACTATCTTTTAATGTCTCTCAATCCTATATACTTTACACCCCTTTATTGAATTTCTGTTTTGAATATGGTAACAAGCAAGACTATAACTACAACTATAAAGTCTTCAACTCCATCAGACTTGAGAGAGAACTATTATCCAAGTAAGCAGGAAGTACAAGCAAGCAACTTCCAAAAAATGTAGGAAATGACAGAAACAGCTGGCTGCCTGAACAGTTACCCAAGGTTCCTCTGTGACATTGGAGCATCCATCTTCAGCCTACCAGCCTAGCATAGTTGATAGACTTATCTGTGAAGCAGGATTTTCTGAAGGACTGTCGTACTTTGTCTTGGCAAGGTTCTGCAGTCATTTTCTTTTGTGTCTTGCTTGTCCAATTTGGACAGCATACTGTCAGTAGTCAAGGCAAGAACACTTTCTTTCCCAGTGGCTTACCTTTGCCACAAAGAAAGTAAACTCCATGTGGAGCTTCTTTGATGCCCATCATCTTCTCTGAAGTAGATTGGTGCTGCCAGGAGCAGGCATGTCTCATTGTCATTAAAAAAAAAGAACCAATGCTATTAAAACATCTTAAATGCCATATTCTGTAGAACTCTGAAGTATTTGAAGACCACCTGTCTACCTAAGATATATCTCTGTTTGACCTTGAAAACATACCTAACATGTCTACAAGTTTGATTGTAATAGGTGACTAACAACTAACCTACATTTCTTTATTATCCTAAATAGTTTGTAATAATAACTTTTAAGGACTAGAAATTTACATTACATTGTTAAAGGAGCTGTTTAGGTACAATACCTTGAACAAGATTAAAAATGTATGTACAGTATGTTCTAAAAAATAATCTCAAATTTGTATCAATATACAAAGATACATATCAATGTTAAATATTTAAAACAAGTAGTTGCTTTTTAAAAGTAGATTCAATATTCTACCCTTTTATCCTATCATATTTATATCCCCTTTTTTCTTTTCAGAGTAGATTCAATAATCTACTCTTTTATCCTATCATTTCTATATCTCCCTTTTTTCTTTTCAAAATAAGAACCCTGAATCTAATCTCTTTTTTTAGCTTTTTACTGACCATTACTAATAACTTGTAACCAACCACCCTAAATGATGACAAATATCCATAACCCACTGAACAACCAAAAAACACCTACCCAATTTC